GGAAGGAAAAGTGATGCAAAACGTGCGCTGTCAACTATCTACAGGATTTACCAAATCCAGCGCTATCGATTTTCTCTGAACTCCTTAGTAACACTTCCAAACCAAACCTGGAGGTAACGCTTTACTGGGTGGGGAGATGAGATTGTCAGTGAATGAATAATGTAAGTACCCGACCACTGTCGGTAATACTGTAGACCTCGTTGCCTGGTAAAAAAATCACGTTCGCTATGTTTCAGGTGAAAAAGTAAGTGTTGATCAATAAAAATCAACAGAAAATAATATTGTCATCCTAAAAATTTGAGCAAGTGAAAAGCGGTTAAACAGGACTGGAATTACAAGAGCAAGATAAAAATGCAGCAATCAGCAGCGCAGCGCGACCGCGCGCATCAACGGGGCAGTTGTACTAGTAGCATTCACAGTCATGATGTCGCGCTCTTTTCGCAGCTGCTCCACCGATGAAGAGCGCTGCTATTGAGAATATTGTCGCTGCCAGTGACTGCCAGTAGGAGTAGCCGAGCTGAAAGAAGGGAATTCATCGGTACGTGACTAATACAAAATTTATAAGACTTACCGTCACACTTACTCCAGGAATGTTCTCCAGGCCTCCTAAAATTTGTCAAAATTACAACAGCAACAAGCAACATTTGTTGAGCATAAACATAAGAACTCTAGACTGAGTGCTACTTAGTTACTATACCTAAATTTCGGTCATATTCGATGCCATACAAGACCAGTTCAGCAATAAGGAGCACAGTAATTAGTCCCTGTGTACCACAGAAGTGATGCGTAAATTTGTATCGAAATCTAAGGACGAATCTGAAAAAAAAAACAAAAATTCAACTTTAATTTGGGTGTTCTCGTAATTCGCTCTATTGAAGGTCTGTAGAAGTGCCGAGGTGGGCTGTGACAACTAAATTATCACATTTCCCAGCTTACAAGTAACATACATTCTAGAGATTTCTGATTTGATTGCTATACTGACTCAGGTTGTTTTATCACTGCTCAACTATCTGTGAGGTCTGCTCTGCCGCTTGCCGCACGCGAAAAATTCGCGCGGTGATCTAGTGGTCTCCACTCAAATTCACTTTATGTTAAGAAGCCAATGAAAATCTATCCTTGGAATCGATGTACATATGGTAGGCTGGCGTCAAAGATCCAAAAGAGAAGGATCTCTTCTCAGAGTTGTCTAAATCATCGCCTTTTTTGGAATGGCTCAATATTGACGAAAAATTCGTCATTTCGTTACTTACAGTGCCACTGCTGCAGTGATGAGAGCGAAAAATTGGAATATCCAAGCAAACAACATCAGAAAGAAGAAAAGCATGTCCCATCCGTCAGCAGTCTAAAAATCGTGCTCTTGATTAAATGTTCCATAGACTGTCCGATTATTGTTTGGACTTTCACGAGTTTTTTGTTAAAGTGTGCGAACACGGACAGAACTTTTCATAACCTAAGTTATTAACCATTCCTCAGTTTTCAAATTAGATGGTATGTCCATTACATTTGGAGCAGATTTACTTCGTAGACGTATTTGCTTGACGCACTTACATCCCAGAAGACATTGCAGGTATTCGAAGACACGCATTGCCATGGAAATATCCCCACTGATACAGTAACTCCTGAGACGCCCATTTCAACCCAATCTGAAACCGGAAATTGCCAGCAAGTGGAAAACGGTAATTTTGAAGGGGAACAAATTGGAAATTGAAAAATAGTAACAGGGGATGCAGTAAGCGGTTTTCTTTATTTGAGGTGTTTCTTTTCTGTTGTCTATTGTACTATCTACTTGAGGCAAATAGAGAAATGTCGGTAACCCGTCAACATTGTCTTCTTAAACTTTCCTATCGTGTTCTGCTTGGTTACTTGGGTTCCATTTTCGAAACCTTCAGGCAATCGAAGTTNCATCCTCGATTGAATCCCTTTCATATATAGACCAGTGATGACTTTTATACATCTGTGGTTTGTGAGCATTACATAAACATCCTCATTCAGCTTACTAGTTACCCGATTGACTAGTTCCGATCGATATTCTATAAAAGTCGATTACACCATAGATTTTGAAGTTCACAACACAACTTATTGAGAGAGAGATCGAGAAAGTGTTACTTAACGGCTGCCAACAGGTATATAGTTCGGAATTGGATCATAGGGCTTTGAATTCATCCCGTTAAATCCACCAACTTTATGAAATTCAAAAAGTTAGTGGCAATGGGATTTCAGCGTTTACTCTATAATCCTGACGTCTTGACCCAGCATATTGATATGGCAAAGATAACGACGACAGTTTCGTACCAATGTTCCATCTCTTAATGGGTCTTGGGAACCTGCTCAATACTTTTGTGTTCATCAATTTCTCCATGACAGTGAGCATTAACCTGGCATTGTTATTTACAAAACTTCATCATTCAAGCAGCTGATGAATGTCTGAAAATATCATACTATTCAATTTCCAGAATTTCCTCATAGTTACTTACTCGTACTTTTGACGTTACCTACCTTGGGTAACATTAGCGTTGTTAGAAACTATTTTTATTCCATTGGTTACTTTACGGCTCTATTTTTAACGACATTGAAACTGGAGGGGTGAGTGAAAGCCACAATTTATGCGAAATACTGAATCAATTTCTTCCCGCCCAGATGTGAGTAAATATTAAAAAAAAGTTGTTAAGAGTAAACATAAAAAACTGCTAATAAAGACTGAAACCAGCGAACTTCGCGGGATTCACTTTCGGGAGTAGAAAAAGTACAAGTAAAGAGAAATGTTAAAAGTGTAAACGAACCCTGCGTAAATAAGCTAATACAGATAAAAACGAATGCGAGAACAGCCCATATGGTAGCCCCAATTAGCAATTTCATGAAAAGGCTTGGCATATTGGATAGATGCTGAGAGAAGGTTGCCGAATGATTTGCGTGAACAGAAGTCTTATCGTCACTTAAAAAAGCCCCAGACTGCCCGAACAGGGTGAATTTCGGTGTGGCGTAGTGATAACATGACCATGCAAACCTTGTATGACTCATCTGGAACGGTTATCCAAGTTTCAAAGTGGAAGAGAAACGTTTCACGACATATTTCAAACTCCCATGATCTTAGGACAGACTACGTATACGTTTTTGGCCCTATCCTGCCAAAATTCCTGATTTCGTGGGCTGATTGCTCTCTAACAGGCTCAATTTTCTTGCTTTCATACATTGCATTTTCAAACCTTCAGACAGTCAGAACCGTCTCCTCAATGTGATTGACTTTTCGAGCTTTTCAGAAATTTATGTTAGAACTTATTAAAATTACGAATACTCAGGAAAACAAGTGCCTTTTGAGCCCTAATTTACCAAAACTTCAGATTTTTAGACTCCTAAGTCTTCAAACGAACTCCAAAAGTCCAGAAACATCAAAAAAAATGATTTCTCCGGGTTATAATCTTTTGAAGCCCTTGACAGACTGATATCTCTCCAGGTCGCCAGTCTTGACATTGGCCCTTTGAGTGAACGAGGGCCTCCAAAACTTTAGCATTCAAGCAGAACTGGCAAAATGCCTATCTCTATGTGAGTCTCCGCCATGCGAAGCGGGGGGAAGGGGGATAGTTTTCAAAATGAATTCTGAACGGAACAGAATGGTGTAGTATGGTGCAATTTGTCAGAGTTCTCGGTAGAACTTCCATCGAGCAAAGGCGCGATTCTACTACCGTTTGGCGAAAGTTTACTTGCAAAAACGGAGCAGACCTAGAGGCAGATGTGTCAACAAAGAAAAAATATTGCGATCGTAAACTGTCACATGGCTTTTTAGTTTGGTATAGTTTGCCGATTGGCGCTAATCCTTGTTCAGGATATCGGTCAAAGATTGCGATCAACGGCTCAAACCGTAGCTGAACACACAGTGTTTCTGTATAGCGTCGTTGTCCTCTCAAGGCTTTCAATGTGCCAGCAAATATGAGTCAGTCGAACTCTACTGCGAAAGCTTTTTTTCAAAGAAAACTTCCGAAGCACACAGAGGAAATATGCAGATGGTGGATGTTACTCCTGTAACAAAATCTCTTTTTATAAGTGACAAATGAAAGTACTAGTTAATGTGTTATACATTATGAGACTTGCTTTTCACCTCACGTATAGTATAATATTTTGTAGAATCAGGAACTCGGATATGATTCCGTATATCGTATGGACCGTATCACACTTCTGAATGGAGTTGTAGTAAAACAAATATTTTAAAAGCTTTATTCGAGAAATGAAACAGCGACCGAGGATTAACAATGTTCTTTAACGGCATTTGTGGTGATTAACATAACCAAAGATTCAGCTTAGGGTGACATTTCAAGGACTCATTTCATAGAACAAGTTTTTTCGATATAGGAAACATGAAGACTTGGTATACCTTGGATATGTAAAATGGAAAATGTTTGCAAAATCAAAATTCTCATTTCACTCGTTCTAGGTAGGTTGTCTCTGATTACACCAATGTGGAGTAGAAATGGGACGAAACAAAGTAGAAACAGGGTGAATCTTGAGAGGATTATCCTCATTGATGGTGGTCCTACTAGAAGAACAAGATTCAGGCCGTAAGCTGCAGTTTTTGTTGAGCTGGAGCTACTGAAGGAAGGAAAAGTGATGAAACTTTGCGCTTCTCAACTATCCACAATTTTTACCAAATCACTCTTTCCTCTAGACTCCCCAGTAACACTTCCAAACCAAACCTGGAGGTAGTTTCTTACCGGGTGGGGAGATGAGATTTGCCAGTGAGTGGATAATGTAAGTAACCGACCATTTTCAGTAATGCTGCAGAGCTCGTTGAAAAATTACGTCAGCTTTATTTTAAGCGAAAAAATAAGTGTTGACCAAGAAAAATCAAAAAAAATCAGTATTGGTAAAAAAAATCAGTATCAGTAAAGAAATCAGTTCTAAAAATGTGAGCAAATAGAAGAGGCTAAACAGGACTGGAATTAAAAGCGCAAAAGAAAAGTGCAGCAATCAGCAGCGCAGCGCGACCGCACGCCTCAGCGGAACTGTTACACTAGTAGCATTCACAGTCATGATGTCGCGATCTCTTCGTAGCTGCTGCAGCGATCATACATGCTACTACTGAGAATATTGCTGCTATTAGTAACAACCAGTAGGAGTAGCCAAGCTGTAAAAAGGAAAATCATAGATAGGTGTCTGGTAAAAAAATTTTGAGTCTTACCGACACGCTTATCTCGGAGATGTGGTTCAAGGTTCCTGAAATTCTTCAAAGCTATAGCCGCAAGCAATTCTTGTAGAACATAAGTATATGGTCTCTAGCCTACTATTGAGAGCCAGGTTTTTACTGGAAGGAAATGCAAAAGGAAAAAACATGAAGGCATACCTAAACCTCGGTCATATTCGATTCCATACAAGATCAATTCAGCAATGAGGAGCAAAGTAACTAGTGTTTGTGTGCCACAGAACAGATGCATCAAATTGTATCGAAATCTAGAGACGAACCTGGAAAAAAAGCAGAAATTCAACTTGATTTGAGTGTTCTCGTACTTCGCCCCATTGAAAGTCTGCCCAAGTGTCGAGGTGGGCTCTGATAACTGATTCATCACCTTTCCCAGAAAAGGTAGTATTACCCACGAGTGATTGAGATTTCTGTTTTGTCTGCTATACTGAGAAAGGTTGTTTGTGCAGTCGTGCTCTGCCGCTCGCCGCATGCGAAAAATTCGCGCGGTGACCTAGCGGTCTACACTCAAATTCCAATGTTGAGGAGCCAATGAATGACTCCTGTTGATTATCCTTGGAATCGATGTACATATGGTAGGCTGGCGCCAAGGAACCAAAAAAAGAGTAGGATCTCTTCTCATAAAATTTCTGAATCATCGCCTTTTTCTTGGAATGACTCAATATTGACGAAAAATTCGTCATTTCGAGACTTACAGTGCCACTGCTG